TCTGTAGGTGGAATTTAGATTGGGATTTTCAAAGGTGCCTAGGGAGTTAGGTGCCCAAATCCCTCTGAAAGAACCCCCCTACTGCCCCTGCACAGGCTACCTAGAATCCTTGGGCATGTTTACTTTGAGCCTTTCCCCTAATGCAAGCGAGCAGATCGTGGGGAGTGAGCAGGGAGGGGAACAGACTTGGCTCCACTCGCTCCACACCCTGAGCTAGCATAGGAGGTCAGAAAGTGTAGGGGGAAAGTGAGAACTGCCCAAAACCAAGCAGAGTTGGACCATGCAAAGGAAATTAAAACCCACAGTAAAAGATTCTATAGCCACATAAATGAAAAGACAAAAAGGAAAGAAGAAGAGGGACCGCTAAGCACTGAGGATGGGGTGGAGATTGAAGATAATCTAGACATGACCCAACAACTAAATGGATACTTTGCCTCAGTTTTTAATAAGGGTAATGAGGGGCTTAGTGTTAGTAGCAGGGAGGCTAATGGAAATGAGGATATGGAAGTGGAAATAGCACATCCGAGGTGGAAATCAAATTCAAACAACTTAATTGGAGCAAACTGGAGGTCCTGGCTAATCTACATCCAAAAATATTACAGGAACTGGCACATGAAATTGCAAGTTCAACAGCAAGGGATTTTTTAATGTATCTGTAAACTTGGGGGACATACCCTATGAGTAGACAACTGCTAAAATAGTCCCTATTTTTATGAAAGAGGAAAAAGTGATTCCAAGACTAGAGAATTTCTAATATAGTACCTACTGTTAAGAAAGGGGGAAAAGTGATCCGGGAAACTACAGGCCTGTTAGTTTGACCTCAATTGTATGCAAGGTCTTGGAATAAATTCGGAAAGAATAAGTACTTAAGGACACAGAGGTGAACTGTAACTGGGATAAAATACAAAATGGTTTTACAAAAGGTAAATTGTTCCAGACCATCCTGATCTCTTCCTTTGAGAAGATAACTGATTTTTTTGGACAAAAGAAATGCAGTAGATCTAATCTACCTGGATTTCAATAAGGCATTTGATACAGTCCCACATGGGAAATTATTAGATAAATTGGAGAGGATGGGGATTAACATGAGAATTGAAAAGTAGATAAGGAACTGTCTAAAGGGGAGTCTACAACAGGTCATACTAAAAGGTGAACTGTCAGGTTGGAGGGAGATTACTAGGGGATTTCCTCCGGGATTGGTTTTGGGACCAATCTTATTTAATATTTTAATTAATGACCTTGACACAAAAAGTGGGAGTGTGCTAATAAAATCTGTGGATGAAACAAAGTTGGAAGGTACTGCCGATATGGACTACCTTGAAAACTGGAGTAATAGAAATGGGATGACATTTAAGAGTGCAAAGTGTGAGGCCATGCAGTTAGGGACTAACTACAAAAAAATTTCTCTACACTGGGGACTTCTTAGCTGGAAGCAATAGAGGAGGAGAAAGACCTGGGTGTATTGATTGATCACAGGATGACTATGAGCTGCTAATGTGATGCAGCTGTGAAAAAGGCTAATGCAGTCCTACGATGCATTAGGTGAGGCACTTCCAGTAAAGATAGGGAAATGTTAGTTACCATTGTTCAAGGTATTTGCGAGACCTCACCTGGAATACCATATGCAATTCTGGTCTCCCATGTTTAAGAAAAATGAATTCAAACTGGAACAGGTGTAGCGATGGGCTACTAGGATGATAAGAAGAATGGAAAACCTACCTTATGAGGGGAGACTCAAAGAGCTTGTCTTGTTTAGCCTAACCAAAAGAAGGCTGAGGGAGATATGCTTGCTCTCTATAACTATGTCAGAGGGAGGGAGAGGAGTTATTTAAGTGCCAATGTTGACACAAGAACAAAGGGATATAAACTGGCAATCAACAAGTTTAGACCTGAAATTAGATGAAGATATCTAAACATGAAATGAATGAAGTTCTGGAATAGCGTTCCAAGGGGAGCAGTGGGGGGCAAAAAACCTAACTGGCTTCAGTACTGTGCTTGATAAGTTTATGGAGTGGATGGTGTGATGGGACTGCCTACAATGGCATGTGGCACTCTACGACTGAGTTACTACAGAGAATTCTTTCCCAGGTGTCTGTCTGGAGGGTCTTGCCAACATTCTCAGGGTCCAACTGATCACCACACTTAAGAGCCGGAAAGGAATTTTCCCCCAGGTGAAATTGGCAGAGACCTTGGTAGGTTTCCGTTTTCCTCTGCAACATGGGCCATGGGTCACTTGCAGATTTAAACTGGAATAAAAGGTGGATGCTCTGTAACTTGAAGTCTTCAACTCATGATTTGAGGATTTCAGTAACTCAGCCAGAGGCTAGGGGCCTATTACAGCAGGGGATGGACGAGGTTCTGGGACCTGCAATGTGCAGAAGGTCAGACTAGATGATCATGATGGTTCCTTCTGGCCTTAAAGTCCATGAGTCTATTAGTCATAATTTGCTGCTGATATAAGCCAGCAGTAAATTGCTACTCCCATGGAGCAGAGAGGAAGCAGGGAGTGTCTCTGAAGCAGAATGCCTCCCCAGGCTGTGCCCCACACCTAGCTCAGGGCTGTGCCTAAGGGCATAGTCTAACTCTTAGTTAACAATTCTTTTGACATTGCATGGCCTAGAAATGAATCCAGCTCACTCTCCCATAGCTATTTTGGCTCTGTTGTTTATAGAGAAGTACAAAGATGTGAAAGTTACTTCAGAAACTGAGCCAGTCTGATTCTGACACATACAGAGGGGTGCAGGGAATTTGACTCTGACACAAATGGGTGGTCACCAGACTGATACACACATGGGAGCCAGGGCTTATCTATACACTTCATTCACAGCAAACTGGGGTGTGAATCTACCCCACACTAGCCTGCCACACATTAAGTGCCCGTGAGGACTCTGCTGATGGGCACTAACTGTTCAGTGGTGTGCTTTGATCTACTCCTGTTTCAAAGCAGGGTAGATGAAAACACAATATGGAATTGTTAATGTCCAGCAGCAGGTTCCACACAACCAGTTAATGCGTGGAGTAGATTTATACCCCAGTTTGCTGTGAACTAAGAGTTTGTATAGACAAGCCCTGATACATACACGTGAGCCAATCTTATGATGCACACAGGGCGTGTTTTTGTGTGTATGATCAAACTGACACATATGGGAAGCCTGATCTGACACACACACAGGGAGGAAATGATCTGTTGAATAAGAAAGTGAATTTGTACATGTATCGGGGGTAGCCGTGTTAGACTGTAACTACAAAAACAACAAGGAGTCTGGTGGCACCTTAAAGACTAACAGATTTACTTGGGCATAAGCTTTCATGGGTAAAAACCTCACTTCTTCAGATGCATAGAGTGAAAGTTACAGATGCAGGCATTAGTCTCTAAGGTGCCACAAGTACTCCTGTGGTTTTTTTTTGTTTGTTTGTTTTTTGGAGAGCAGGGAGTTACTTCGCAAGTGGAGAACCAGTGTTGACAGGGCCAATTCAATCAGGGTGGATGTTGTCCACTCCCAATAATAGATGAGGAGGTGTCAATTCCAGGAGAGGAAAAGCTGCTTCTGTAATGAGCCAGCCACTCCCAGTCCCTATCAAGCCCAGATTAATGGTGTTAAATTTGCAAATGAATTTTAGTTCTGCTGTTTCTCTTTGAAGTGGGTTTCTGAAGTTTTTTTGTTCAATGATAGTGACTTTTAAATCTGTAAATAGAATGACCAGGGAGATTGAAGCGTTCACTTACTGGCTTATGTATGTTACCATTCCTGATGTCCAATTTGTGTCCATTTATTCTTTTGCAGAGGGACTGTCCGGTTTGGCCAATGTACATGGCAGAGGGGCATTGCAGGCACATGATGGCATATATAATATTAGTGGGTGTGCAGGTGAATGAGCACTTGATGGTGTGGCTGATGTGGTTGGGTCCTCTGATGGGGTCGCCCGAGGAGATATGGGGACAGAGTAGGCAACGAGGTTTGCTACAGGGATTGGTTCCTGGGTTCGTGTTTCTGTCCACCACACCCCAGAAACACCAAATTTTACGTCAGAACATAATAACATAAGAACGGCCATACTGGGTCAGACCAAAGGTCCATCTAGCCCAGTATCCTGTCTTCTGAAAGTGGCCAATGCCAGGTACCTCAGAGGGAATGAACAGAACAGGTGATCCATCCCGTCGCCCATTCCCAGCTTCTGGCAAACAGAGGCGGGGGGCACCATCCCTGCCCATCCTGGCTAATAGCCATTGATGGACCTATCCTCCGTGAACGTATCTAGTTCTTTTTTGAACCCTGTTATAGTCTTGAACTTCACAACAACTTCTGGCAAAGAGTCCCACAGGTTAACTGTGTGTTGTGTGAAGAAATACTTCCTTTTGTTTGTTTTAAACCTGCTGCCTATTAATTTCATTTGGTGACCCCTAGTTCTTGTGTTATGGGAAGGAGTAAATAACACTTCCTTGTTTACTTTCTCCACACCAGTCATGATTTTATAGACCTTGGTCATATCCCCCCTTAGTTGTCTCTTTTCCAATATGAAAAGTCCCAGTTTTATTAATCTCTCCTCATACAGGTTTCTGTTCCATACCCCCATATCATTTTTTTTGCCCTTTTCTGAACCTTTTCCAATTCCAATATATCTTGTTTGAGATGGGGAGACCATATCTGCACGTAGTATTCGAGATGTGGGCATACCATGGATTTATATAGAGGCAATATGATATTTTGAGTCTTATTATCTATCCCTTTCTTAATGATTCCCAACATTCTATTTGCTTTTTTGACTGCCACTGCACATTCAGTGGATGTTTTCAGAGAACTATCCACAATGACTCCAAGATCTCTTTCTTGTCCTATTAGTTTCATCTCAAATGGTGTCCCTTTGCTAGTCACTGGTCTGTGGCTCTTCAGTAGGAAAAGTCTCTGGAGATTACAGCCCCTTTGGAATTACTGACCTTTTTCTTTTTCCTCCCCCATCTCGGAGGCAGATTCGTTCAGACTAATCTTTTCCAAGAGTTCTGTATCTGCATCCATGGCCAAGTCTTGTAGAATTCCAACTTCCCATAAAATTTCAGGAAGTAAAAATGAAAAACAACAATTGTTATTACAAGAGGAATTTTAGGTAGAAAAAATATAGTTATCCAAGGTACTATCCTGTGGGGACATCAGTTAACACCACTTCTTGAGCAAAAAAAGATTTTAATAGATTCAATAGATCTATTTTTAATAGATTCAAT